AATGTGTTCCTTCCATCTCGGCTTTCCCAAAGAGGTGGTGGGGATTATAGGCATTGAGGTGAGGCACCATGCCCAGCCATCAGCTGTTTTTGCTTTTTTCTCGGTGTATGACTGTGCTTCCTGACCGTTTGTATTGCAGAAGTTCATTACACTTAATCAGATACTCTATTCTGCATTCAAACCTAGATTTACATGACAAATTGGAGGACCGACCTTGTGATTGTTACCTCTTTACAGTAGAATATTAAGAAATCCCTTAGTAGTAGTCAGTTAGGTGAGCAATCTTTTTTTTTTTTTTTTTTTTTAGCTCCGCCTCCCGGGTTTCCGCCATTGTACCGTCTCAGGCCTCCCGAGTAGCTGGGATACAGGTGCTGCCACCACGCCCGGTTAGATTTTTTGTATTTTTTAGTAGAAGACGGGGTTCACGTGTGTTAGCCAGGATTGGTCTCGATCTCCTGACCTCGTGATGCCGCCCGTCTCGGCCTCCCAAAGTGCTGGGATTACAGGCTTGAGGCCACCGCGCCCGGCCCAATCTTTTTTTTTTTTTTTTTTTAGACGCGGGCTCACTCTGTCGCGCCCAGGCTAGAGTACAGTGGCCGCGCAATCTCAGCTCACTGCAAGCTCCGACTCGCGAGTTCACACCATTCTCCTGCCTCAGCCTCCTGAGTAAGCTGGGACTGCAGGTGCCCATCACTACGCCCAGCTAATTTAAAAATTTTTAAAAAAGATTTTAGTAGAACGGCTTCACCGGTTAGCCAGAATGGTCTCCATTTCCTGGACCTTGTGTCTCCGCCGCCTCAGCCTCCCAAAGTACTGGGATTACAGGCGTATGTTAATTCCTGTTCCTGTGTCCCTGGACAGCCACCCTCACATATTTGGTGTTGAATTAAACTTTTTTTTTTTTTTCTTTGAGACGGCAGTCTCATTGTGTCATCCAGGCTGGAGTGCAGTGGCGTGATCTCGGCTCACTGCAACCTCCATCTCCCAGGTTCAAGCGATTCGTCGTGCCCTCAGCTTCCCGAGTAGCTGGGACTACAGGTGTGTACACCACACCAGGTAATTTTTTGTATTTTTAGTAGAGACTGGGTTACAGCATGTTAGCCCAGGCTGTGTCTCAAACTCCTGGTCTGCAACAGTCCGCCTGCCTGCGGCTTCCCAAAGTGCTGGATTACAGGCATGAACCACTGTACCCAGACTTTTTTTTTTTCTTTTTTTTTTGGAGGAGAGACAGAGTCTCGCTCTGTCGCCCAGGCTGGAGTGCAGTGGCGCGATCTCGGCTCACTGCAAGCTCCACCTCCTGGGGTCACGCCATTCTCCTGCCTCAGCCTCCTGAGTAGCTGGGACTACAGGCGCCCGCCACCACGCTCGGCTGATTTTTTGTATTTTTAGTAGAGACGGGGTTTCACCGTGGTCTCGATGTCCTGACCTTGTGATCCGCCCGCCTCGGCCTCCCAAAGTGCTGGGATTACAGGCGTGAGCCACCGCGCCCGGCCCAGATTTATTTTTTAATTTTTCAGAGGCAGGGTCTTTCTCTGTCACTCAGGCTGGAGTGCAGTGTGAGGATCATAGCTGACTCCGGACCTCCTGGGCTCCTCTTGCCTCAGCCTCCCAAGTAGCTGGGACTACAGGCATGTGCCACCACGTCTGGCTAATTTTCTTTATTTTTTGTAGAGAGACAAGGTCTTGCTATGTTGCCAAGGCTGGTACTTAACTTCTGGCTTCAAGCTATGCTCCTGGCTCAGCCTCCTGAGTAGCTGGGATTACAGGTGCATGCCCCCATGCCTGGCCACCACGGTCAATTTCAAGCTACCAATATGAAATCATTGAAGGTGCAATTGGAAAGAAATGCACAGTATTACATTGTTCTATAGTAAGTCTATTACACAGACATAATAAATGTAAATAGACCAGGCAAGATGGTTCACACCTGTAATCCCAGCACTTTGGGAGGCTGAGGTAGGAGGATCACTGAGCTCAGGAGTTCAAGGCCAGCCTGGGTAACATAGTGAGACCCCATCTCTACCAAAAAAATACAAAATTAGCTGAGTGCGGTGGCAGGCACCTGTAGTCCCAGCTACTCAGGAAGCCAAGGCAGGAGAATCACTTGATCCCAGGAGGCGGAGGTTGCAGTGAGCATATACATTGGCACACAAATTAGCAGATACTACCATGCAGTGTGTTTTTTTCTCCAGAGAACTGGCTGGTAAGTGTTTACCATAGTAAGAAGGCTTACTATAGAACAATGTAGTACTGTGCATTTCTTTCCACTTCCATGTTCAATGATCTCATATTGGTAGCTTGAAATTGGCCGTGGTGGCCGAGCATGGGGGCATGCACCTGTAATGGAAAGCTGAAATGGAAAACAGAGGGTTTAGGGCAGCAGTCCTGAATTCTGGAGTGCTGTCCCCCTGGGGGAGTTTTGGGAATCTGTGGGGGTTGCTTTTAGTTGTCACAGTGGAGGTCCTAGGATGCTACCAAAGCGTTTAGGCGGCTGGGGTCAGCGATAATAAAAGTTATGCAATGAAGGTTTGTCCTGCATTCTCAGGACTTTGTTTTATTTTTGAGACAGAGTCTTGCTCTGTCACCCAGGCTGGAGTGCAGTAGCACCATCTAGGCTCACTGCAACCTCTGCCTCCCAGGTTCAAGGATTCTCCTCCCTTAGCCTCCTGAGTAGCTGGGATTACAGGCATGCACGACCATGCCCAGCTGATTTTGTATTTTTAGTAGAGATGGAATTTCACTAAAAACAAAAACAAAAACAAAAAAAATGTTGGCTAGGCTGGTCTCAAACTCCTGACCTCAGGTGATCCTCCTGCCTCGGCCTCCCAAAGTGTTGGGATTACAGGCGTGAGCCACCGCGCCCAGCTCATTCCCATGACTTTGGAACATCTGTGGGACATTCATGGAGGTGGAAAGTCTGTTTCTAAGCCTCTGAGCCCCAAATCTGTTTTGTGTATTTTATGACAGCTCACCTCCCCACTCCCCTGCCCCACCCTGTTTCTTTTTTCCTTGTTGCTGAATCACAGGGAAATATGTCATTTGTCCTGTAGACGGGCTCACATTCTGGACTGGGCTGATTGCTGCCTCATGGTGTCGTTTCACTGGCAACTTTATCCTCCTGTTTTCTGCAAACTGGTGGTTACAGTGAGAAGCTTGATCTGATTTTTTTTTTTTTTTTTAAAGGGAGCTCCTTTAAATTTTAAACCTTTTTTTTTTTTTTTTTTTTTTTGAGACGGAGTCTCGCGCTATGTCACCCAGGCTGGAGTGCAGTGGCGCAATCTCTTGGCTCACTGCAAACTCTGCCTCCCGGGTTCACGCCATTCTCCTGCCTCAGCCTCCCGAGTAGCTGGGACCACAGGCGCCCGCCACCACGCCCGGCTAATTTTTTTGTATTTTTAGTAGCGACGGGGTTTCACCGTGTTAGCCACGATGGTCTCGATCTCCTGACCTTGTGATCCACCCGCCTCGGCCTCCCAAAGTGCTGAGATTACAGGCATGAGCCACCGCGCCCGGCCACCTTTAAACTTTTAACTGGTAGTTAACCTCCTGCTGCTTAGCAGCTGAAGCTGGAGAGTGGCTGCTGGTTTTTATTTCCTCCTGTTAGGACTGCTGGGAGCTCTGGTGGTGCCTGCCTCTTCTCTCAGTAAAATTCCTCATCCATCTTTTTTTTTTTTTTTTGAGACAGAGTTTTGCTCTTGTTTCCCAGGCTGGAGTGCAATGGCGTGATCTCAGCTTACTGCAACCTCTGCCTCCCAAGTTCAAGCAATTCTCCTGCCTCAGCCTCCCAAGTAGCTGAGATTACAGGTGCACGCCACCACACCGTGCTAATTTTTGCATTTTTAGTAGAGACAGGGTTTCACCATGTTGGCCAGACTGGTCTCAAACTCCTGACCTCAGTTGATCCGCCCGCCTCAGCCTCCCAAAGTGCTGGGATTACAGGCATGAGCTACCATACTGGGCCCATTTCTATTTTAAAAAAATATTTAAATAGGCAGGGTGCGGTGGCTCACGCCTGTAATCCCAGCACTTTGGGAAGCTGAGGCAGGAGAATTGCTTGAACTTGTGAGGCGGCCGTTGCAGTGAGCTGAGATCACGCCATTGCACTCCAGCCTGGGCAACAAGAGCAAAACTCTCTCAAAAAGTAATACTAATAATAATTAATTAATAAATAAATATAGGACTCTGAGAGGACTCAGAGTCAGCGAGAGCCTGGCCTAGCTGGACTCTGTCCCCCACCTCCATGCTGCCTTCCTGGCCACCTGGAGGAGGGAAGCAGAGTGGGGGCCCCTTTCTGTTCGGGACATCTTACCACAGTTCCCCAAGGAAGACCCCCAGGGGACCCAGATGGGGGATGCAACCTCGACCTGCCTCTCTCCCCGACTCTTATGGCCAGACTTGGGGTGCCTTGTGCAGGTGGAGGAGCTAAGGGCAGATAATAAGATGGACTGCCTGGCAGGCACTGGGGAAGGAGGAGGAACTACGGGCTCACCTCCCTCCCACAGCCCAGCCACACCTGCTCTGGAAAGCCTTGTAAATCCTGGGTGGGGTTTGCCAGTCACGGATGCTGGCAGGGTTTCTTTGGCCCTGAGTAAAGAGAGACCCAGAGGGAGCACTGAGCTGCCTGCCAAGCCACCCTGTCTCGGATTCCTTCAAAAGGACCAGGTGAGAGAAGGTGAGGGGCTCCTCTCCCACCCTACAACACGCACACCTGTGCGCACACGCCCAGGTGGAGAGCAGGGGATTGGGGAAGTGGACCCGCCGTGCCCTCGTGGGTCTCTGGTGCCCTCTGGGATGCACCCCCAACTCAGGACCTCCAGGAGAGGAGGGTCCCTCCCTCGGCAGCCAGGACCCCCTCCCCAGCCAGCCGCCCTCCTTAGCTCCCTCCCCACTTCCTTCCAGGTGGATCTGTTTCTAGGGCTCCCACCGCCACCACCTCCCTCCCCTTCTCCACCCTGGGCCACCAGGTCCTTCCTTGCCTCCCTCCCCTCAGCAGTTTCTAGGAACCACCCTGGCAGTAAAGGTGCAGAGGGCTCGCACCCAGCCGGTGGCCACCCGGCTTTCCTGTCTCCACCGTGGGGCCTGCTCCCTCAGACCCTGGGGCTCCTCAGAGGCTTCGCAGAACCCAAGCAGCCGGTCTTACCTCCGAGCGCTGCCCTGGCCCAGGGAGGCGGCTCCGTCCCTCCTGCACTCCCTAATCCTGCTCTGAATTACCGCTTCTGTTCTGGGCAGAGAATAAAGGTGCGGTTTCCAAGGGATGGCCCTACATTATCGTCTGAAGCTCCCTTCTCCTTCCCAGAGTGGAAGTGATAATGTCGGGAATCTGCGAATCCTGGGGAGGTGCGGAAAGACAGCGGGCTCTAGCGGCGGGGTGCCACTGAGCAGGACGCGCTGAGCTGGCCGGGGCCGGGGGCGGTTAGGGGTAGAGAAAGGCTTTCAGAGCTGGGGGACAGGACGGGGCCCCGGGTGAGCGGAGAGCTGGGTTATTTCACAGGAACAACTGGTGACAAAGCCGGAGGGGTGTGCGGGGCCAGGCCAGAGGCTGGGATTCTGTCTTAAGGAGCATGGGGAGCCCTGCAGGTGCTATGAGCTGGGGAGGAGCCGGGCCAGTGCTGGGTAAAGGGTACAGAGGGGAAAGGAGGAAGCCGGGCTGGAATAGAAAGACTGGGCGTGGTGGCTGATGCACTCTGGGAGGCCAAGACGAGGCGGACGGATCACCTGAGGTCGGGAGTTCAAGACCAGCCTGACCAGTACGATAAAACCCCGTTTCTACTAAAAAAATACAAAAATTAGCCAGGTGTGGTGGCATGCGCCTGTAATCCCAGCTATTCGGGAGGCTGAGACAGGAGAATCGCTTGAACTCGGGAGGCGGAGATTGCAGTGAGCCGAGATCGCCTGCCATTGCACTCCAACCTGGGCAACAACAGCGAAATTCCATTTCAAAAAAAAAATACCTGGACGGGACAAAGAGAATCAAAAGAAGTGATCCAGGTTGGGCATGGTGGTTCACACCTGTAATCCCAGCACTTTGGGAGGCTGAGACAGGCGGATCACTTGAGGTCAGGAGTTGGAGACCAGACTGACCAACATGGTGAAACCCCGTCTCTACTAAAAATACAAAAATTAGCCAGGCCTGATGGCGCGTGTCTGTAATCCCAGCTACTAGGGAGGCTGAGGCATGAGAATTGCTTGAACCGGGGAAGCAGAGGTTGTAGTAAGCCAAGATCGCGCCACTGCACTCTAGCCTGGGCGACAGAGTGAGACTCCATCTCACACACACACACAAAAAACAGAAGTGACCTGCAGATATTAGTGACCCCGTTCCTCTGAGGGAATTGGAGGCCGGGCTTCTGCTTCGAAATTGGGGCCCCTTTCTGTTCTGACATCCTAACTGCCATCTTCCAAGGGAAGACCCCCCAGGGCGCCCGGATGGAGGAAGGGACCTTGACCTCCCTCTCTCCTCTGCCCCTATGGCCCGGCCTGAGGTGTGTGATGCCTCAGGGCAGATAACAAGATGGACTTCCTGACCTCAGAGGACTGGGGAATACCCAAGCTCCTCTATCAGAAACCGCACAGCCCTGGATCACCCTCCAGCTGTTGGCATGTCTCAAGATTTCCTCGCGGGCCCCTAGTAGCTGCTTTTCCAATCTCCCCCTGCCATCTCAGCACCCTCCTCAGCCCCGCCACATCCCTGGGCCATCCCCTCGCTCACCTGAGCTTCTCTCAGCCTCGGGGCCCTGGGCCAGTCTCTGAGCCTCAGTTTCCTTTGCTGTGAAATGGACACAGTATCACCTACTTGCAAGGTTGTTGGGTTTTTTGTTGTTGTTGCTTTGGGGTTTTTTGGGAACAGGAACTCGCTCTGTTGCCCAGACTGGAGTGTAGTGGCAGGATCTTGGCTTACTGCAGCCTCGACCTCCTCGATCTCAGGTGATCCTCCCCGCTTCTCAGCCTCCTGAGTAGCCGGTACTACAGATGCATGCCAGCACTCTCATCGAATTTTTGTTTTTTGTAGAGACAGGGTTTCACCATGTTGTGCAGGCTGGTCTTGAACTCCTGAGCATAAGTGATTTGCCCGCCTTGGCCTCCCAAAGGACTGGGATTACAGGTGTGAGCTACCACGCCTGGAGAGGGCTGTTGTTAAAACTCAGTAAAGGCCCGGCGCAGTGGCCCACACCTGTAATCCCAAGACTTTGGGAGGCCAAGGCAGGTGGATCACCTGAGGTCGGGAGTTCCAGACCAGCCTGACCAACATAGAGAAACCCCGTCTCTACTAAAAATACAAAATTAGCCAGGCATGGTGGTGCATGCCTGTAATCCCAGCTACTCAGGAGGCTGAGGCAGGAGAATCACTTGAACCGGGAGGGAGAGAGGGCGTTGTGGTGAGCCAAGATGTGGCCACTGCACTCCAGCCTGGGGAACAAGAGCTAAAGACTCCGTCTCAAAAAAAAAACAAACTCAGAAGTGCCGGGCTCGCGGTGGCTCAAGCCTCATAATCCCAGCCATGTTTTCCAGATTTGGGAGGCGGAGATCGGCAGATCAACATATGGTCAGGAGATTCGAACCCATCCGTGGCGTAACACGGTGAATACCCCGTCCTCTTACTAAATAAAATTTACATAAAAACTAGCTGGTGATGGTGGCGGGCGCCTGTACGTAGTCCAGCTACAATCGGGAAGGGCTGAGCAGAGTAACTTGGCGTACAAGCCTGGTGAGTCGGAGTTCTTGCAGTGGACTGGGGATCCTCGGCCGGCGACATGCACTCCCCAGCCTCGGGGGACACAGATGTAGATGACTCTAGTCATAAAAAAAAAAAAAAAAAAGAAAAAAAAAATCTCAGTATGATAACCCTAGGTGTGGTGGCATCCTGCCTTGTAATGCCAGCACTTTGGGAGGGTCTGAGGAATGAAGAACAGAGGACTTCTTGAGGCCAGGAGTTGAGATCACAGGGGGCACATGCAAGACCCCCCGGCCCCACCCATCCATCCCTACAAAAAAAAGAAGCAACTCAAAAAATATGCTTCGGAATTTCCGGGCGCTAAGGATGGCTCTAAGCCTGTATGCCATCCCAGCACGTTTGGGGCCGCGAGACCGGCGGTATCACCAGGTCAGGGACATCGCAACCACTATGATCCTGGGCTAAGCCACAAGTGAACACACCTCTGTTCTCTGTACTAAAAATCAAAAGAACTTAGGCCGGGGCGAGGTGGTCCAATGCGCCTTGTAGTCCAGCGTTACTCGGGAGGCTGAGCAGGATGTATGGCGTTGAACCCCGGGGGCGCAGCTTGCAGTGAACTGACGCTGAGATCCGGCCACTGCACCTCCCAGCACTGGGTGAATCAGAGCGAGACTTATCCATCTGCAAAAAAATCTACAAAAAAAAAAAAAAAAAAAAAAGAAAAAATTGCCTTCAGTAGTCAGAAGTGGATGGGAGTGTGCTGTGGTTCAAAGGCGTGACTATAATGTGAGTTTGAGGCCACCAATTCTGCTCTGAATACCGGGATAGCTATAGCCCATGTATACAGCTATTTCCCTTTGTGCCCACACCCAGTGCCCTAAGGGAGAGTGTGGTTTTGTTGTTGTGTTGTGTTGTTGTTTCTTTTTGAGACGGAGTTTCGCTCTTGTTGCCCGGATGGAAGTGGCAGTGGCACAATCTCGCTCACTGCCAACCTCCCCGCCTCCCAGGTTCAAGTGATCCTCCTTCCTCATGCCTCCCAAATGTAAGCTAGAATTAACATGGCCCATTGAGTAGCCACCAACACCTGGCTAATTTTTTTGTTAATTTAAGTAGAACAGTGTTAGGGTTTCACCATATTTACGGCTGGTCTCTAAACGTCCTGACCTCCAGGTGATCCACCTGCCTCAGCCCTCAAAGTGCTGGGATTACAGCGCAAGAGCCACTTGTACCTGGCTTTTTTTTTTTTTTTTTTTTTTTGAGACAGAGTCTCACTGTGTCACTCAAGCTGGAGTGCAATGGTGCGATCTCAGCCCACTGCAACCTCAGGGGAGGTATTGTTTTTATCCCTCCCTGCAACCTGCTGTTGATGGACAGACAAGGACAATGAAACACCTGCCTTGGTCTCCCAAAGTGTTGGGATGACAGGCTTTTACCAGAGAGGTAAAAGCCCTGGGTTAAAGTCACACAGCACGTAAGAGGTGCCTGATCACGCCGTGCAGGGCATCTCGCCAAACCTCAAAAATTCACAATCTCACAGCGCAGCTAGCTCTGTGAGGCCTCCCTACCTCTTCCTTCTCTCCCTGCAGGCTCCTTCCTTCCTTCCTTCCTTCCTTCGGTGAGAAAAAGTAGCATCTTTTCCTCACCTATCACAAAGTTTGCAGCTGGGCACCTACCGTAAAAGGTTAACAAGACACAAGCATAACAAGTGTATTTAAGGCAAGTGTTACATGACATGGGAGCCTTCAGAAATGAAGGCCTAAAGAAACAGGGAAACCTGGGTGGGTTTTTTGTCTTGTTTTGTTTTGTTTTGATTTGTTTTTAGATGGAGTTTCACTCTGTCGCCCAGGCTGGAGTGCAGTGGCGCGATCTTGGCTCACTGACTGCAATCTCTGCCTTCCATGATCAAGCGATTCTCCTGCCTCAACCTCCCCAGTAACTGGGATTATAAGTGCGCGCCACCACGCCCAGCTAATTTTTCTATTTTTAGTAGAGACAGGGTT